CTCTCTCAGTGTCTCTGTCAAATAAATAAAAATCTTTAAAAAAAGAAAAAAGGGAATGGATCTGAAGGAATGGCACCCTGGATTCACAAAGCATTACTGAAGTCAAAGCCTTGAGTAGTAGCTGTTCCTTTGTAGTGGCACAGAGTCGATCCTGGTCGTTGGGCAAAGGGGTGCCTTTGGAAATGAGAGCTGAGGTGTGTGAGGATCAGCGGGTCCCACTGAGAGGGACGTCTTCTTCCTACCTCCTTTTTTCCCCACAGCTCGTTCAGGCCTTTACCCACGCTCCCGCAATGTTAGAAGCAGACAAAGGTGGGAAGTTTCACCTGGTAGATGGCAACGTCTCCGGGGAATTCACTGATCTGGTGAGTGCCCGCTAGCCCCAGACCCAGGATGTAGTCTCTGCTCAGAAGAATATATTGTTCCTTCTTTTTTCGGCTCTGTAGACAAAATGGAATCTGTCCAGTTAGTAAAAGCTCATTTTTGATTTTCAAAAGAACGTTGCAGTTAAATTCTCTTGCTTTCCTCGGATTTTTTTCCTTAGTGGAATAAAATTAGTTCTTCCTGAAGAGATCCTTTGTGGAAGAGGGGTCATATATATGGGTGGGTGGTGGCTTTCCATTGGCAGCACTGAAATGTCCCCTGGGCACAGCTGACCCAACCCAGCTTTGGCGTAAGGGGAGAAGTGGGGCTGGGGTTGGTGCAGAAGCCACCAGTATGTGGTCCGTGGTCGTCCGCTTTGTGCCCCTCAGTGGTAGAGCCGCACAGATGGTAGACTCCGTCCGAAAGGCAGATGGCTGCTCCCGGTCAGCATCGGGGACGTGGGGCTCCACACAGCACAGACTGATCTCCCTGATTACTTTAGGTCCCTGAGAAACTGATCGTGATGAAGTGGAGGTTTAAATCTTGGCCAGAAGGTAAGTACACGGATTTGCCCGTGGCTATTAGCCTCAGAACTCGTTCTTTTCCCCTCATCTCAAATCCTGATGGAAACCCTGGATCTGACCGCTCCCTCCTGTCTTGCCTGTCCCCAGGGCACTTTGCCACCATCACCCTGACCTTCCTGGACAAGAACGGAGAGACGGAGCTGTGCATGGAAGGCAGAGGCATCCCGGCCCCCGAGGAGGAGCGAACGCGGCAGGGCTGGCAGCGGTACTACTTCGAGGGCATCAAACAGACCTTTGGCTACGGCGCTCGCTTATTTTAGGGCTGGCAGCAGTGGGCGGCCCACTCCCTCAGGCCAGCCCTCTCCTGACCGGGGCTTGGGACTCCCAGGATGGCACCATCCCAACCACTAACTTGGGGCTGGGGCCCCTTCCCTCCACGTATACCTGGGGTTTGTGCATGTTTTCTGCTGGGTGGGATCAGAGGGCGATTTCTCTTTTATGTGTACATACGCTAAATAAACGTAATTTAAAAAACGTGCACAGCTGGAAGCCTGTATCGATGGGGTGGCTGGTGTTCATGAGTTCCCTTGAAGATACTGAATTAAAGGGGAAAAAACAAGCCCCAGGTTTTGTTTACATTCTGGCCGAGGGCAGAGAAATGAGGGAAGCCGGCTTCTCACCAGCATTCCTGCGGACTGCAGACTGGTACAAAGCCGCTGCCTGCCCTCACGGACGGAAGACGGGCTGGGGGGTGCTCTGGGGTAAAGCGTGCCAAGAAACCTTCCTGCTGGCGGAGGTGGCATCCTGGGCTCTCCTCTCTGTGTGGCCTCGGAACTCCTCCTGCAGGAACAGGTGAGCACCAGGTGCTGCTGTGAGCTGTGGCAGAGGGGAACTGTGGGCCTCAGGGTCACGGCTCCGGCTTCCTGAGCAGTTGCCAAGTAGCCCCCTAGCATTAGCTCATGTGATCTCCATAATAGCCTTGGGGAAAAGATACTACCAGCATTTTCTGTTGCATAAGAATCTAAATCTTGCTTTTCTTCAGTAATATCCCAGACCCGGCAACTGCCATTTAGCAGAGTTGAGATTGGGAACAAGGACTGTAACTTGCAGGGCCGGTGCTTGAGTCTAAACCACTGTCTACTGCCCTTGTCGCTGGGTTCATCCCCTCAGCAGCTAGTGTGCCAGGCATCCCTCCTGGAGTAAAAACTTCCAGGCCTCTTACTAGTCCCAGAAAGAAGAAGACATCAGTGTTCTTGTTAAAGAGTATTTTTTAAATACCTGGTTCCACTAAACAGGTTTACAGAGCACTAACCAAGTAGCAGGGATATGTTCAAATGGGGCAGGAGAAGCCAGCTCCCCCCCACCCCTGGGGCCGGAGAGGGTCACTTTCCTGGACCAGCCCCGCCCCGGCGTCCTGCGGCCCGCAGGACTTGGAGCCTGCTAACCCAGACACCTGGCCTCCTGCAGGCACAGCTATTTCCTTCATCTATTTTTGCCCCTTTTGTTAGGTGGCATCGGGGCCTGCAGGCTAATCCTACCAGTGTGACTTGGCCACAACATTGTAGTTAAAGCAGAAAACCAGTACTGATGGGGATCAATTAGACCCCTGAAAGCCACTTTTGGCTTGAATTACTTAAAGGAGTGGTGGACGGAACTAATTCGCATCTAATTTGGCATTAGATCTGCCTCCTGGGGGGTCCAAAAAGATGCCTTTTGATAAAGAAACCTGGATGGTAGCTTGAATCAAATCTAGGGGCCCCTCCTAACAGACTCCTCCTCCTCAGAGACCAGTGACAAAAAAGGAGCCCTTTCATACCTGGCTGGAGAGTCAACCAATTCGATAAGAGTTCTCGAAAAAAGTCTGAAGCAGAGATCACAAACACCTTAATAAAAACAAAAGCATCGGGCAAATCACCTGCCCCATGACACGCTCAGTGACAGTTCACATCCCCAGTGCTGACAATGACTGTTCCAGGTTTTACCACTGCCATTTTACTGATCGCATTTTTGAGCCTAAAAAGCAGAACGACAGAGCTAAAAACATAACTATGGACTTGACTGGACTTGGGTGGAATTGTGCCCCTTCCTAACGGATGGGGCAAATTCTCCTGTATAATGGATACAATAGGTACCTTATCAGAGCATTAGAGAGGACACCTAGAGAAGCACTGGCACTTGGTGGCATTTGGCAAACATCCCCTAATAACGGCTGGGCTCCAGAGCCCAAGTGTCTTCCCTGGAGCAAGAATATTTTGAAAAGCTAGTTAATTGGCCAAATTGCAAATCATAGGCCAAGGACTCACCTCACTCAGAATCACCTGGGGGAACCTGTTAAATTCAGCAAATTTTATGGACTCCGCCCCTAATTGATTCTGACTCAGTGTGGGGTGTAGCCCATGTTTAATAAATACTGCAGGTGATACTGAGGTCAGGATGCAATTTGAGAAGCACCCCAACCCATTAAGAAAATGTAATTGTAGGGGCGCCTGGGTGGCTCAGTCGTTAAGCGTCTGCCTTCGGCTCGGGTCATGATCCCAGGGTCCTGGGATCGAGCCCCGCATCGGGCTCCCTGCTCCGCAGGAAGCCTGCTTCTCCCTCTCCCACTCCCCCTGCTTGTTTTCCCTCTCTCACTGTGTCTCTGTCAAATAAATAAATAAAATCTTTTTTTTTTAAAGATTTTATTTTTATTATTTATTTGAGACAGACAGAATGAGAGACAGAGAGCATGAGAGGGAGGAGGGTCAGAGGGAGAAGCAGACTCCCTGCCGAGCAGGGAGCCCGATGCGGGACTCGATCCCGGGACTCCAGGATCATGACCTGAGCCGAAGGCAGTCGCTTAACCAACTGAGCCACGCAGGCGCCCAATAAATAAAATCTTTAAAAAAAAAAAAAAAAAGAAAAGAAAATCTAACTGTAATGGAGGAACCCAAAGAAGCACATTTGGGACCTTTTTGTGACTAACGGGACAAAGGCTCTGACACGTTCTGTCTTCCAGCAGACAAGGGAAGTCAGCAGGATCTGGCAGGGTTCGTACCACTGGTTGTTTTAAACCCTGGCAAGAATTCAACCTGACTGGTCTTGCCTGACCTAGGACCCTTTAGGAGATACACCAGACAGAGGAAAACGGGACAAACCATCCTGGTGACTGGGCGGTGGTGGTGTTCATGCTGGATGCATGGCCACAGAGGGCTCCCGGGGTTTGGGACAGGAAGAACAGCGAGTCAAGACATTGACCTCACCAACACTGGACCCGAACAGGGGGAGGGGGGCCTCTCCTGGGCCTGGCACTGGCCATGCCTGAAATCCTCCCTTTAACAGGGTCAGGGACTTCTCCATCACTGTTTCTCCCCCCACACACACCTGTGCCCTGAGCCCACAGCCACCTGCACGGCGCCTCTTTCTCCTTTGTCGAATTTGAATAAACACCATTTTACAGCTGACCTGCTCTCCAGCCCCTTCAAGGCTCCTTTCCAACTCCCTTTATCTTCTGTCATCTGTGGCCTGACATGGTAGCAATTTCACCTGTCACTTAGATTACAGATCAAAAAAGTGGCCAGCTAAACTCAGTTTGGGTAATAGACAACCACTAGGTACAGATTAAGTTTAGACAATGTGTTTAAGTGTCAAGTTATATTAGAGAGGAGGGGAATTAGCAGATTCCTATGAAAACAGACTCTGGGATGTCTTTATCGTCTTATTTAATAAAAAGTTTCTGCTGGGGCACCTGGGTGGCTAAGTTGGCTGGGTGGCCAATTCTTGATTTCAGCTCTGGTCATGATCTCAGGGTCCTGGGATTGAGCCCCCTGTCGGGTTCCCCACTCAGCATGAAGTCTGCTTGGGATTCTCTCTCCCTCTCCCTCTGCTCCTCCCCCCACTCTCTCTCTCAAATAAATAAATTTGAAAATTTATTTAAAAAATAAATAAAAACAGTTTCTGTTAAAAGATAATTAAAATATGCCTGTGCTAATAATCATGTCGATTGCCCCAGACAAGAGAAGGGGAGTGAACTTGGATCCCATCTGGTGACGCGAGACCTGGCCCTCTCTGGCCCTGTAATATTTTAGTTGCACCGCAGTATTTTTAGACTGTGGTCCAGGACCAGACTAATAAACTTACCTCTAGGTATGATGGTTATGGAAACATCTGGCTCTCTGAGCATCTCCAGGTGGTGGCTTGGGACACATCTTGTCTCATCCTACTTCCCGATAAGTCTCTGTTCTTCCCCAAGTGCCAGGAGTGTCTAGTAAGGGTACAGGTCCACTTCTGTCATCTTACAGGTATAGTCCTTTGGGCAACTCTGCGCCGGATCCCTTGGGCGCAAACCACTTCGTCTGGAGTGCATGCCATTTACCGCTGACTTAGAAGTCCTCCCGTCCCCAAGAACTAGCGAATGTGCCCCTGAGGTCCGGCCAGCACCTCCCCACCTCCCAGGCAACGCCATACAAGTGTGAGTAGGGATAACTCACATCTACATCCAACCTCTGCACTCCAGGAGCCCCGCCCGCCCAGCTGGGTGAAGGAGTCACAAACACAACCATGGCTTGTGTTGGGCTGCAAACAGGGCTCCCTACACGTCTGCTGAGGCTCCCAGTTCTTCATCAGACAGAATTTGAAAATAAAGTGCTTTATTCTGGAAGCCCCTGCAGCTCACGAAGCTTCTCCTCTCGTTTGGTCTTTATGACAGCCCTGCCAGGGCCGTCTGTCCCTCGCCATGGGCTAGAAAACATGGGCTCAGGGGGCCACGTGCCCTGCTCAGTCTGTGGCTAGTAAGTGGATGAGCAGTACTCCCACTACTCCATCTTCTGTGACCCCGAACAGGACCCCCGCCCTGCAAGGAATATAGGATGGGAACACTGTTCATCCCAGCTCCTCTCCAGGGGTCCACTGGGCCCACAGCCCTCCTGTAGCTCTTACCTGGATATTGGGGTTTGGGGCACTCAAGTCTGTGTTGGCCAATCCTGGCAGCTTCTGCAGCTCAAGCAGCAAGGAAGCGTCCTCCAGGGTCCTGGGAGGGGCCGCCTTGTCTGGGCTCAGGGCTGCCGGCTCACTGAGAGCCCGGCGCCTGTGACGGCATGGCCCTGCCTGAAGGCCCTACGAACGCTGCCAGATCCTGCTGACTTCTGGGGAGCAGTGGGTTCCCCTCTTCTTCCCTAGGAGAGCCAGGATCTGGGAAGGCTGATACCTGAAGGAGAGAGAGGGGGAGGGAGGGGTGATTGGAATCAGGGCTTGCCCCAAGTGGACTTGAAGAGGGGGATTCAGGAGCCCTGGGGTCTGTCCAGGTCACAACCCCCCCCCCCCCCGCCATGTGACTATGTATCCAAACATACCTGCTTTACCACCTCAGAGGTGAGTGAGGCCATGTCCACAGACTACTTGGACAGACGGTGCCCACATGAGGCATGACAGGGAGCTAAATGAGGTTTCTACACATGGAAGAGACACAAGCCAACCTCCTCATTTTACAGATGAAAAAAACTGAGGTCTAGAGAGGGAAGCATGTGTTTCCAAGTGCAGTTAGCAGACCACATGCTCTTGCCTGGGAAACAGACAGCGGGCCTCCCGAGTCAGGGCAGGAAGGCCCAGAAAGGCCCACAGGGAAGTGAGGGCAGACCTGGGCTCTCCCCCAGCAGGCTCCCCGGCCACTCGCCCTCCCAAGCCATCCACGTGGGGGCTGTATTCCTTAGCATCCCTGACCGCTGCTACCTTCCTTCCTCCAACTGCCCACCTGGGGCCCATTCCAGGGGCTGGTACGGCTGTCTGTCTGCCAGTTAATTCTCTCCACCAGCCAGTGCCCCTGCGGGGTCCACACCCGGACCGTCCCTGCTTCTGCTCAGATAGTAAGTGAAAGACCCTGGTTGTCTCTGACTCCAGCTGCAGCCCTCACCTGCTCAGACAGTGGGACACTAGGGTGGCCGTCCACCTACTTGCAGGCTGCAGCCATTACTCAGGTCTCCACAACAGGACAGAAAGAGGACTGTCCAGAGCTGCCTTTATGAGCCTCAGGGGCTGGGAGCCTGTGTATCCTGCCCCACTCAGTCCACAGCTTTGACCCCCTCTCCCACCTCCTACCTGAAACGGTGTGAAAAAACACAGGTCTGGATGGTCAGATCAGCTTGGGTTCAAATCCCAGCTCTGCTTCTTACTAGCTCATTCCACTTGATCTGCAAAATGAGGATAATTCCTACCTGGAGGGATTGTCAGAATTTTATTTATCAAACATTTCCCCAGCATCTGTGTGCCAGGCACTTTTCTAAACACTTAATCACTCATGTCATCCTCCCAACAACCCTCAGAGGTAGGTGCTAGCTATCATCCCCATGGAAATGGACAATGGAGGCTAAAGCACAGAGAGGGCAAGTAACTTGCCCAAGGTCACACAGACATTTAGTGGTAGAGCCAGGATTTGAACCAGACAGCCTGGGCCCAGAGCCCACACTCTTCTTTTTTTTTTTTTTAAGATTTTATTTTTAAGTAATCTCTACACCCAACGTGGGGCTCGAACCCACAACCCTGAGATCAAGAGTCACACGCTCTACCAACTGAGCTGGCCAGGCGCCCCAGAGCCCATACTGCTAACTGTTATGCTCGGACAGTACAGGCAAGAGTGTGGAGAGTCTACTTCACAAATCAGGGGCTTACTCAGTCTAGTTTCTCACTATGACTTTCTTTCCTTGGGTTGGAAAAGAGAATCAGAACCTTCAGTCTCTCCCCTTTTGCCTCTCCCTGCAGGGATCCGCAGAACGCCCGGTTCCAAGGCTCCTGCATTAATCACTGTGGGAGCGTGGTGGGAGCCTGGCCCTGGAGTCGGCAGCCGAGTCAAAGGGCTCTGGTCTGGACAGCCAGGCTGGACGAGCAGAGATGGACAGCCGAGTAACAGAGCAACTCAGCCCCTTCGCTGACCAGTCCCGGAGGCCTGGCACATCCCCATGGGCAGCCTTCCTGGCAGCTCCCAGCCACGAGGCCACCAAAGCCCTAACTGGCCCTGTGACGTGGCTTAGCGGCTCCCCTGTCTGCTGCCTCTGGGGCCCGGGCACAGACAGTTTCAGGACAGCAGGACGTCAGGGCCTGCAGCTGCTCTGGCTGATGCGGAGGTCCCTGCCCCGCGAGCAGTTAGGCAATAGTTCTCAGCTGAGGACATTTGGCCAGGTCTGGAGACATTTGTGGTTGTTGCCATTGGAGAGGGGGTTGCTACTGGCACCTTGTGGGTGAGGCTAGAGATCCGACGACACACAGGACAGCCCTCGTACAAATCATCCAGCCCAGAATGTCAACAATGCTGCGGTTAAGAAGCCCTGCCCTCGGGGGGCCTGGCTGGCTCAGTCGGTAGAGCACGTGACTCTTGATCTCTCGGGATCATGAGTTTGAATCCCATACTGGGGGTAGAGATTACTTAAATACATACATACATACGTAAACTTAAAAAAAAGAAAAAAAGAAACCCCGCTTAAAGTCAGGCTGCTTAGGTCTGAATCCCCAGATAGCCTGGCTTCTGACCTGTGGGACCCTGACGGGGGACATAACCTCTGTGAGCATCCTTTTTTTTTTTTTTTTAAGACTTTATTCATCTATTTGACAGAGAGAGACACAGTGAGAGAGGGAACACAAGCAGGGGGAGTGGGAGAGGGAGAAGCAGGCTCCCCACCGAGCAGGGAGCCCGATGTGGGGCTCCATCCCAGGACCCCGGGATCATGACCTGAGCCGAAGGCAGACGCTCAACGACTGAACCATCCAGGCGCCCCCTCTGTGAGCATGCTTAACTGTAAAATGGGGAACAGTGATGGGAAAGAGCTGGTTATCCAGCAGGTGCTCGGAATGTGCGTTTCCAGCCCTCTTCAACCTCTCCACTCCAGGTGCCCAGGTGGACCAGATGATAAGCAGAGGTCGTAGAAAACCCCGGCTAAACATCCCAGCCACACATGCCCCCCTTCTCTGGAGCTGCTCTTGGGGGCCCCTGCCCCGTGTTTCAGGCTCCAGGGAACCCCAGGAGTGGAGTGGAGGGGGGACACCCATCTTAGTTTGTTCCTTCAGAAGCCAACCCTGACACAAGAATTCAAGGGCAAGTCGTTCCTTTGGAAGGTGATCCCAGGAGACAGGAGCAGGGAGAGGGGGCATGAGTCGGGGACAGGAAGCAGCTAATACAGAACGCTCCCAGGTTAGTGACCCCGGGGGGCAAGTGGGGCTCAGTCCCATCGGGTGTCTCAGCTTTTCCCCAGAAGTGGGGGGCTGGGCTATGTACCTACAAGCCCCGCCGGTCACTGGTTGAGGGCTGCCGGGGGGAGGAGAGGATTTGCTCCCCGGGTGCCTCAGGCTTGCCGTGACAGCTCAGAGCAGGCCCTAGTGGCAGTGACAGCCGTCTGGCGGCCGGACACCGGCAACTGGAAGAAAGGGCTGCAGAGATCCGGGCAGAGCCCCCCGCGCCCTGCCGCGCCAGAGCTGGGTGAGCTCATCTTCCCTCCCAGGCCTGGGCCAGGCCCTTTAGGTGCCTCTGTCACCCCAGCTAGACTGCAGGCAGGACTTCGAGTCTGCTTCGTCCCTGCTGTAGCCTGAGCCTAGCACAGTGCCCGGCATATACAGCAGGAGCTCAATCAATCACTGCCGAGTGACTGAACGAACACTAGCGACCCCGAGAGCTGAATGTGACCCTCTCTGTGTTAATGATGAGCCTACAGAGGCTCAGACGGGGTCAGGGATTGACGTGAGGTCACCAAGGTTACCGTATCGAGCCCGGGTTCAAACTCAGCTCTGGCTGATCTCAGTGCCCATGCCTGGGTGCACACACACGTGTGTGGACACACATGACAACAACCTCCACGAGCAACCACGTCTGCATTCACAAAGCACTTCCGTTTTTGTCATCTTGCTGGCCACCAAATGGAGTGGTAACGGGGGTGGGCTGGAGGCCACTCGGCCCGGGTTCCAATCCCAACTTGTGCACTTCCGAGCTGTGCGACCTTGGGCAGGTTAACTTAATTGGCCTTAAACTCAGCCTCCATAAATTAAGGAAACAGCAGTCTCTGTCTTGTATGGTTGTTGAGTTAGGACAAGGGCTGCCTCAAACATGGCCAGTGGGCAGTGAACCTTACCTAGAGGTGGCGACAGATGGTTTTGAGAGAGAGAGAGACCCTGTCACCAGGCACCGTTAGTTCTTTACATCTTGGTTGGTCTGAAGTCCCCAGCACCACCACTGACGTGGGAACTCCGGGGGGCGTATTCCATCGGCCTGAATTCTGAGGCTCCAGAACCTTTAAGAACACCTGTCCTATCCCACAGGACCGCCGCCCCCATCTGTTAGCCTCGCACGTGGAGTTTCGCACAGGCACAAATACCCAAGTCCGTTCTTTGGGGGAATGGTGTCAACGCCCAGATAGACATGAGATGTGTAGACATATACCAAGATCTATGCCCCCCCCACCCAACACACACGCATCCTCCCAGGCTTGGCCAGGCAGCCCTTGACCCACGTGCTTCCAGTCAACAGAAAAGCCCTTCCTGCACCACATGAGCCCACCGCTAAGCTGCTTCAGCCCCCTCAGTTCCCCCGGCCTCCCTTCCCTCTGCCGTAGGGCTCAGGACCTTGCTCTGGACAATGAACCCCGCGGCCCGGTGCAGCCCAGCACCCCGCTCCCCGCAGCCCCAGCAGTCCACACCCATGCATACAGAGCCAGGCCGCGCACGCAGTCACCTTGGCCTCCCATGAGGGGCTGGAGACCTAGGGCTCAACAGCACCTGCCTCTTCAGCCAGGCCAGAGGACCCCAGGCAGAGGAGGGGGCTGGACTTCACCCTCCAGCCCTCCCGGCCCCCAGCAGAGACCTCAGGGCTCCTCACTGTCATGAGAGTACTAGTGATGGGGCTGGCTGCACGCTGGGCGCCCTGTGTCCTCGCACAGGCTGGGCATCCGACTGACTGCTCTGAGAGGCCCCACCTTCTCATCCTGCACTGCGCCCCCCCAACTACGTAGTCAATGCTGCCAAGCACGCTCACTGGATTCTCACGCCCCTTGGGGCAGGTGCTCACGTCCTCCTCACTTTGTAGACGAGGCAGCCGAGGAGCAGACAGGTGAGGTAATTTGGCTGGGGTCATCCAGGACTCGAGGCAGAAGGTCTGGCTGGAGGGGCTGTGCCTTAACCCTGTGCTTTGCCAACTCCGAGCAAGGGCTGTACCTTCTGGTTCGCGGACCGCCGCTCGGGTGCGGAGTGTGCCGAACAACCAAAACACTAGAGCAGGATGTTCTGCTTCTCACATCCATCTTTCTGTTTGATCTTCGCAACAATCCAGTGAGAGGCAAAGGGGAGGAACAAGATGGGGAGACCGAGAGCCAGTGAGGAGAGGACTTGCCTGGGACGACCAAGCAGCCCAGCCTCCTGGCCCCCGTTCCTATTCTTCCCTTTCTCCCTCAACCAGCTCTCCGGTAGTTCCAAATTCTGAGCAGGAAGAATGGTCTGGAGGGAGATTGATGGTCACAGTCAAGGTCCAAGGAGGTAGCCAGCTGCCAGGGGACACTGGGGGTGAAGTAACAGGCTTGGCATCACTCACACCTGCGTGACCCTCACTCACTGACTGGGCTAGGAAGTGGGCACACCCCAACCAAAGAAAACCGACCTGCAGGAAAATATCTGCTTCCTGGTGCCCCGGCCTGGCAGCTGAGACCTTTCCACCCATCACGCCCCTCCTGCACTCCAGCCCTTGATGCCAGGCTGGATGACGCCCAGGACCGAAGTGCTGACTAAGCACCCCGGCCGTATGTATGACGCTGCCCCAGGCCCACAGGCTCCCGCCTCTGGGCCTCAGCTCTTCACTCTCAGCCCGTCCCCTCATGCATGCGTCCTTCTGTGGGGACCGCATCCCTGATGCTACGGCAGGAGCGCCTGCAGCTCCACCCCATGGAGGACCCTTCCTGCGGGGCAGTCCGTGCAGCCTGGAATGCTGTCCCCTCCCTCCTCTCTCTCCCCTAGTTCTCATCTCCATCACCCTCTTGTGGCCCCAACTCCTCAACTCTTTCCCCCACCCCCAGGTCTTCCCTTGCCTACCCAGGAGGTGGTGGGTGCCAGGGCGAGGTGTCCAGGGGTCCCGGAGTTAAGCCAAGCTGGGTTTCAATCCAGCTGCAGAACCGTGGGTTAGTTATTAGACCCACTGTCCGTTTCCTCATCCCTAAAATGAGGAAAACAAGACAAGGAACACAAAATGCTAGGCTGTGGCTGTTTGGGTGGTGTTCTGATCCAAACTAGAGCAGAAGACCCCCAAGGCAGAGCTCCGTCATTCCTTGCCCATCTAGAACCCACCAAATCCTTGTAACGACGATGCCACACACGTGCACCGTGCTTTCTCACCCAGCAGGCCAGCCGACAGAATGGGCTCTCTTACTCCCATTTGATTGTGGGGGTAAACTGAGGCTCAGCAACAGGCCTGCCCAGAGAGAGGGTGGCACATTTTGTTCCTGATGCTGATGATTTCAAGACTTTTCAAGACTTCAGATGAGCAGGCTGGGGTATGTCAGGCAAAGATGGACCACAAGGTCCCTGGTATAGCTCTTGAAATGACAGCCCTGGCTCCCAAGCTCAGTTAGGCTTACCGGCTCAGTGCCTTGATATTTCCCTCTGGAAAATGGGAATAACACCCATGTGCGACAATGAAATAACATCACATAAAGTACTTCACACGGACTCTGCAAGGCCCAGAGAAGGCTTACTTTCCCTCAGTCATCCTGTACCTTTAGATAGGCTTATGTTCTTCAGCTTCTTCTTTGAAGTCTTTGGAGTTGTCAGGTATTTCTGACATATCACCTAAGGCCCTAGAATAGCACTCTGCCTTATCGCAACAGGATTTCTTAGCTAACACCTTGATGTGGAACAGCTTTAACACACATCACACAGACTTATGAAGCAATGTTTGAGCTAGATGAGATCACGGAGATGACTTAGCCCCTTATTTTAAATGTCAGGAAATCATCCAAGGTGAGTCATACATGAGTTAATGACCCACTGGGACCAGAACTCCAGGCCTGGGATCCAAGCTCTGTTTTTCCTTCATGGCACTAATTTGCTTTAACATGTTTTTGAGGGTTCCACCAGGCCCTATTCTAGGGCTGGGGATATGATTTTGGCTCTGAAATAACTCATCCTCTAGGTTAGTCTTGGGGGAAGATCTGGCAAACATATAAAAAATAATCACAATACAAACCAGTAAGTACTAAAATAGAAAATATGTCAAATGAGTAGGGGAAAAAATGTCAATTCAATTAATTGTATGACCACTGTCATCTCCACCTAGGAGGTGGGACTGGCCAGGAGCTGTTCAGTTCCTCTGGATTTGTCTACAGCAGTGGTTGCCAACAATGGTGAGGGGAGGGGCGTCCCTCAGGAAGCCCTGGGCAATGTCTGTCTCTGTCCAGGAGTGGGTGCTACAGGCATCTAGTGGCTCAATGCCAGGGATGCTGCTAAATATGCTACAATGCACAACGAAGAATTATACGACCCCAAATGACAGGAGTGTGCAGGTTTAGAGGCTCTGGTCATAGGATGTACTCGCAACAAGGGGCAAAAATTGGACATTAGGGGCAAAAAATCTTGGATATTACAATGGTTTGTAACACACCAAAGTGCCATAGTACATAGACAGTATATTTATGGTATTAAAATTTCAGTGGGAGAGGCATTTAGGGGGAAAAATATCTAAAAGTCTCCTTAGGAGGGCAGCATTGAAAAAAAAAAGGTGGATAAACACCAGTCCACAGAGACCCCAAGTACCAGGCCCTTGCTTCCCAGGCCTCTTGAGGGCCTCAACAGCCTAGGCACTACTAGCCCCCCCAAGCTGGGGTACCACTCACCCACCAGTCTCCTGCACCCGGCTGGGCCTCCCGGTGTCCTCATATAGAAAATGGGAAGAACTACTCTGTCCTCCTCCTGGAATAGCTCAGTGCATGGGAGGAGCCAGGACCCCCTGCCACACCAGCCTGCATTCCCCGGAGGGTTTTGTCCCCATGCGGATGAGTGTCCACGGCAGTCCACGGAGGAATGGCTGGACTGCTGACCCCCGGTGCAAGGAGGCAGGTTTTGACAGACCGTGGTTCCTCTCCACCTCTAAACCACTCTTTTTCAACTCACTCCTCTGTTTTCAGTCGCACCCCCAAAGCCCACTCACAGGCCACCCAGAAAGTGCCCCCCGCACATCAGGTCTTAGCGACCTCTTCTGCTCTTCCAAGTACGTAGTAATATCAAGGTCCCTGGCTGATCTTACTCCCCTGCAAGTTGAAAGACCCCACTCACTACCTCATCTCATCTCAATTCACACCCAAAGGGACTCAAATCCTCTGCAGGTCTGATTTGAGGCTGCACCGGCTGGTTATTCGGCCGGTCCAATCTCAGCAACTCCGCGCAGCGCCGCGTTCGGCTCCCACCATCCCGGCTCCTCTCGGAGCGCGCCCCTGGACGGGATGGGGGAGGCGCGGGCTGCAGGAGAGGTTCGCTCAGGGCGAGGCAGCCGCGGGCGGGAGAGGCCGGGCTGTCCCGCGGGGTCCGCGCCCCGCGCTCAGCCCAGAAGTGGAGTCTCTCCCCCGCTGGCCCGCCGCCCGGCCAGGACGGGGGCTCCCACAGGTCCGGCGCACCTGGCCCCCGCCCGGCGCCCGCCCTCGGAGGTCGCCGCTCGCGCCCCGGCCCCGCCGCTCACCTCCGCCGCCTCGCGGGGCTCCGGGGCCGCGGCTTCCTCACGGGGAGCGCCCGGCTCGCGGCCAGCAGCGCCGCCAGCAGCACCACGCCGAGGAGGAGCCCCGCGCGGCCGGGCAGTCGAGGCGTCGTCTCCCTCCCGGCGCGGCTCCGCGCCAGGCCTCCCGAGCGGCTCCCGCGCGTCCCTTCGCGCCGGGCCTCGCCTCCTCCAGGGCCGGGAGCGCGCGGGCCGCGGGGGCGCGCGGAGCTCGGCGCGGGAGGGTGGGGGCAGACAGGCGGCCGCGGGGGCGCGCGGGGCGGGGGGCGCCTTTCTCGGGTCAGCGCCCGGGACGTCCTCCGCGCTTCCCGGAGGGGCGGCTCCTAGGCGCGCCCGGACACTCTCGGCCGGGCGGGCGGGCGGCTCCCTTTGATCTGGCCGCCTCCCCGCCCTGTGTCCCCGCCGCTGTCGCCGTCGTAGCCCCAAGCGAATTCCTGGCCGAGGGACGTCGCAGCGGCCGGCTCGCTCCAGCCCCGCGCTGCCGCTCCCGCGGGGCGCCCTCCCGGCGGGCGCGCCGACGGCGACGCGACACTCGGACCGCCGGGGCCGGCGGGCGGGGGACGCGCCGCACCCCACGCGGGAGCCCTCAGCTCTTGGGCTTATACCTCGAGGTAGGTTTGCTCGGGGAGGGAGGCCAGGAAGTCACCCCCCCCAAAGCTCCCCCAGCTCCTCTGCTGGAGGTGGAGCCCAGAGAAACACCTGACACCGTGCGCCCGATTTCCTCAGGATGTTCTCAGAGCACGTCAAAAACCCAGAGAGGCTTGAGACTCAGATGTGAGCATAAAGTCCCAGAAGGACAGCAAACGGCTGGACACGTGTGAGGTCGTGGTCAGAAGATCGTGCCCTGCCACTGGGTGTCACCTAGTTTTATCCTGGGTAAAACAATGGGACCACCCACTCCCTCTAGCGAGACACTCGTGCGGGGGATCCTCACGTGTAGGGTACCCGGGTCATGAAATAAAAGCTCGGCTCATGATAAACATCAAGAAGTCCGAGGAGCAGTGACAATTTTTGTGGCCTGATGGGGATTGTGAAGGATTGTAAGCACAGTGACATAAGGCAGGTGGGGGGTGGGCAGGACTGGAGGGTTGGGGTTTGGACAGGTGAGTGAGGAGGAGCAGTCAGAAGACACTAGGAAGGTGGCCACTCAGGGGACACAAAGGCTGCCTAGTTTCAGGGCAGGGATAACAGATCCCTGGCGGTGCTGGGGAGGATGGCCAGGAAACCCGCCATAGGGGTAAAACCTGGGATCTGGGTTTAGCCAAAGTGAAACTCTTAGGGGACCGAGCACAGTTGAGAGAAACCACTTCTATCTGCTACAGCACAGCCCAGGACTCGCCAGTGTTTGGTGCATCACAGGGATTACAACCTGGGCCTGGAGTTGGCCACGGGGGGTTTGAATCCTGCTTCTAGGCCGTGATCGTATGGTGGTTAGTACTCTGCGTTGTGAATCCTGCTTCTACCATTTATTAGTAAGTTATCATTGGACAAGGCCTTTGACCTCTTGTTGCTTTTGTCATTTATAAAAGTGTGTGTGGGTGGGGGAGTACTGACCTTGCAGATGTAAGGAGTAAAAAAGAATCTGTGTTAAAGATTTTCATTAGGGGCGCCTGGGTGGCTCAGTTGGTTAAGCCACTGCCTTCGGCTCAGGTCATGATCCTGGAGTCCCTGGATCGAGTCCCGCATCGGGCTCCCTGCTCAGCGGGGGTCTGCTTCTCCCTCTGACCCTCTTCCCTCTCGTGCTCGCTCTCATTCTCTCTCTCTCAAATAAAAAAAAAATAAAATCTTAAAAAAACAAAAAACAAGGGCGCCTGGGTGGCTCAGTTGGTTGAGCGACTGCCTTCGGCTCAGGTCATGATCCTGGAGTCCTGGGATCGAGTCCCGCATCGGGCTCTCTGCTCAGCAGGGAGTCTGCTTCTCCCCCTGACCCTCCCCACTCTCATGCTCTCTCTATCTCATTCTCTCTCTCAAATAAATAAATAAAATCTTTAAAAAAAAAAAAAGATTTTCATTAGGATGAAGTTGCCATTTTTTGGTCAAAAGGGTCAAACATTGGGCGCCTGGGTGGCTCAGATGGTTGGGCGTCTGCCTTCGGCTCAGGTCATGATCTCGGGGTCCTGGGATCGAGTCCCGCATCGGGCTCCCTGCTCCTTGGGAGCCTGCTTCTCCCTCTGCCTTTCTCTCTCGCTCTGTCTCTCATGAATAAAAAAAAAAGGGTCAAACATTGGCAATTTCATGTGGCTCTACCTAATAAGATGCTTGGTACACGGTAAACACTCAAATGGTAGCCAAAAGAAACTGGCCTTTGAGCACCTGCTACACCATATGGCTTTTTCTAGACGAAAGGTGAGGCTACCTTGTTCTTTGTTTTTTAGGATTTCTTTTTCACACCCAACCTATTTTGTCTTTTCATCAAACTTCTGCACCTTCCCCCAGATCGAAGTTGGAGCTCAAGTTCATTCCTTTGGATGCACCTGTCTCTGAGTCCGTCGCTACAGCTGTCCTCCAAGCCCTTCTCCGAGCCCCCACCCCCACCCCCCTTTACCTAGACAGCTGTCGTAGCCTCCTGACTGGTCCTGCTAGATCCACTCTTGTTCTCACTGCCTCCTCACCAGTGCTGTTGCTTATCTTCACTGGAAAACAACGCATGGTCTGATACAGCCTTCTGAGTTAATCTGATTCTAGTCTTTCATTCTTTGAGCTACTTTACTACTCTGTAGGTTGTAGGTAAGAATAGTAAAATCAGGGCACCTGGGTGGCTCAGTCGTTAAGCATCTGCCTTCGGCTCAGGTCATGATCCCAGGGTTCTGGGATTGAGTCCCGCATTGGGCTCCTCGCTCCAGGGGAAGCCTGCTTCTCCCTCTCCCACTCCCCCTGCTTGTGTTCCTTCTCTCGCTTTGTCTCTGTCAAATAAATAAATAAAATCTTAAAAAAAAAAAAAGAATAGTAAAATCATTCTTGTCTATAGAAATGCAAATTATGTCCTGTCCTCTAGAGGCTCATTTGACCTCCCAATGTGGAAGCAACCAGTTTTGCCTTCATTTGCACATTCATTTCAATATTCTTGTTCTAGAAATTTTGTTTTTCAGTATCTCCTTTGATTGCTTGTCATATCCTTACCAGTTTCCTTATTCAGGAGTTAAATAAAATCTTTAACTCATGTTCATTTTTATATCTGTAAGGGAGTCATGATTTTTTTGAGAATGACCTTCTAACAGGTCTTGTTGTACCCAGTTAATTCCTACCTCCCCAGTCTTGGCTCCCAGCAACCACTTGTCCACTCTCTGTCACGGTAGGTTAGTTTTGCCTTTCTAGACTTTCGTATTAACAGAATCATATTTATGTATTCTTTTGTGTTTGGCTTCTTTATTTGAACATGTTTCTAAGATTCATCCATATAGTTGTAGGTATCAGCCATTGTTCCTTCTCACTGCTGAGTAGTATTCTATCACATGAACATACTACAATTTGATTATCCATTCACAATGCTGGCATTTAGATTGTTTCTAGTTTAGGGCTATTATGAATAAAGTAGCTGTGAGTATTCAAGTGCAAACGTGCGCATGCTTTCACTTCTCTTAGGTGAATGAAATTGCTGCCCCCAAACTGCCGAATTGTTTTCTCAAATGGCTGTGCACTTTGCATTCCCACATTTTGCCAACACTTGATATTGTAACTTTTTTTTTTTTTTAAAGATTTTATTTATGTGACAGAGAGACACAGCGAGAGAGGGAACATAAGCAGGGGGAGTGGGAGAGGGAGAAGCAGGCTTCCCGCAGAGCAGGGAACCCGATGCAGGGCTCAATCCCAGGACCCTGGGACCATGACCTGAACCGAAGGCAGACGCTTAATGACTGAGCCACCCAGGCGCCCCATTATTGTAACTTTTTTAAAATTTAGCCATTCTAGTGGGTGGGTGAGTGGTGGAATCTTATTATAGTTTTAATTTGCATTTCCCCGATGACCAGAGATGTTGAACATTTTTCCATGTGCTTTTTTGGCCATTAGTATATCTCCCTTTGTGATGAGTCTGTTCAAATCTTTTGGGGCGCCTGGCTGGCTCAGTCGGTTAAGCATCTACTCTTGGTTTTGGCTCAAGTCGTGATCTCAGGGTCCCACATCAGGCTCTCTGCTGAGCGCAGAGTCTGCTCGTCCCTCTCCCTCCCCTCTGCTCCTCACCTGGCATGCCTGTGCATGTGCACTCTCTCAAATAGATAAAATCTTTTTAAAAATAAAAAAATCTTTTAAAAAATCTTTTATTTATTTACTTGAGAGAGTGAGCATGAGCGGGAATGTGGGGGTGGGCGGGGTGGGTAGGGGCAGAGGGAAAGGGAGCAGACTCCCCACTGAGCAGGAGCCCGATGCGGGGCTCAATCCCAGGACCCTGAAATCATGACCTGAGCTGAAGGCAGACACTTAACTGACAACCACCTAGGTGCCCCACCCAAAATAAAATCTTTAAAAAGTGTTCAAACCTTTTCCCTATTTTTTAATTTTTTAATTTTTAATTTTATTTATTTATATATTTTTTAAAAGATTTTATTTATTTATTTGAGAGAGAGAATGAGATAGAGAGAGAGCATGAGAGGGGGGAGGGTCAGAAGGAGAAGTAGACTCCCTGCTGAGCAGAGAGTCCGATGCGGGACTCGATCCAGGGACTCCAGGATCATGACCTGAGCCAAAGGCAGTCGCTTAACCAACTGAGCCTCCCAGGCGCCCTATTTTTTATTTTTTTTAAAGATTTTATTTATTTAACAGACACACAGCGAGAGAGGGAACACAAGCAGGGGGAGTGGGAGAGGGAGAAGCAGGCTTCCCGTGGAGCAGGGAGCCCGATGTGGGGTTTGATCCCAGGACCCCCGGGACCATTACCTGAGTCGAAGGCAGATGCTTTAATGACTGAGCCACCCAGGCGCCCCTTCCCTATTTTTTAGTGAATAGTCTTGCCTTATTGAGTTTTAAGGGTTCTTTCTATACTCTGGATGGAAAGCCTTTGTTAGATATATATTGTGGATGTTTTATCCTAGTCTGGAGTTTGCATTTTCCCTTTATCAAGCCTTAAAGTTTTCATTTTGATGAAGTAGTTTATCAATATTTTTGAGCCC